GGGAGCAGTGTGGGGTAAAGGGTCTTGCTCAGAGGTCCAGACAGTCTGTGGGAGTTGGGATTAAACTCAGAACCTCCGGATTCCAAGCTCTATACCCTAACGACTATGTCGCCACTCCCTCTACATATCACAGTGTTGGTAAAATGGTCTGTGCTGAATAGTGCTGTATCAAATTCAGGGACTTAAAACTCCTCACATCACGGTCACTTATTTACAAACTGGTGGTTATAAGCTTTAGAAGCTGCCATAAAATCAGCCACTAACCTGCAGGCAAGAGACACACGAGGACTGAAACTGACAGAACAAGGCCATGAACAAGCAACCCACTGGTTACATAATGAAGCCCTACTTCCCAGTGGTGGTAAGAGATAGGTAACAGCAATTAGACTGAAGACAGCTTGCAGTGTTAGCCACAGTGAGAAAACAAAAATAGTACTGTCTGCAGAGGTGGTATTCCTTGAAAGACAGCTACAGAAACAGGTCCACACACGACTAGGAGAGAATCTACGGGAACATAAAGATCAGGCTTAGAGGGGGAGGGGGGGGCTACTCTCCATGCACAAAAACATTCAAATGTGCATGGAGAGCTTGTGGCAGAATTCTGACTTCATAAACCTTCTTTAATCCCCAGTTTGCAGGCCGTTCAAAATGAGCTGGCCTCTTCCTGTGCTTGTGTCAGTTATCAGTAAAATACTAAAACTATCAAATGAGGAGAAAAGATCTACACAAACAGGGCATCCCCTAAAGGAAAACAAACTGTGGTAATATGCTTAACGCATTTAAAGGACCTGTCCAGACACTGTCTGTCCAACACCTGCAATTCTGCAGCATCTAAAGATCCTTTCAGCAATATTCATCATACAAACTCCAATACTACCCGGACATACCCAGAACTTGTTGAAGGGTCTGCTTATTCCCCTGGGCTGAGGAAACCTTGGATTCCCCAGAATAATGAAGAGTCTACGTGAGCAGAGGGATGTGTGGGTTTCTTTCCTGGAGCTGCTGACTCACTACAGACTTTAAATGAAGGTTAAAATACTTTAAATGAAGGTTAAAGACTTTACCTAACATTAAAAGAGTTTAAAAGAAGGTTTAAAGACATTAAACGACGCTTAAAAGACGTTTCCTAACATTAAAAAGTTTAAATAAAGGTTAAAAGACTTTAAACTAAAATTAAAAGACGTTAAATGAGTGTTATCTTTGAGGTCAGCTGTCCATAGAACATTAAGGCTACGTTCACACTGCAGCCTAGATGCTCAATTCCGATTTTTTTTGGGGGGAAATCCGATTTTTTTTTTTACGTTGCCGTTCATATTTCCAAATATATGCGACTTGTATGTGATCTCTTGTGTGAACTGCAGTCATACAGTCTAAGTGTCCCGCATGTGCAGTAGAGGACGCAATGATGTCACAGGCCAGCATGCTCCATGTTTACGGAAGTAAACATGGATGGTAGTGCCAGCGCGCAACTAGCGGTCTTTTCAAACCATAAAAACTAACTTTTTTCACATGGTTAAACATAAATACTGCTCTCCGCATCATCATCTGCCATGGTTGTTGTTTTTCTTGCCGCTTCTGTGTAGCAAGACGCAGAATAGTGACCTATGTCGGGTATTAATGGCGTTCAGGTCGGATTAATGCGACCTGGCCGTTCAGACAGGTCGCATTTGAAAAGATCAGATTCCCAAGCGGCCTGGGTCGCATTGGAAAAAATTGGATCTGTGTTGTTCAGACAGCCATGAAAAGATCAGATCCAGGTCACATATGGGCCATAAAATCGGATTTGGGTCACTTCAGGCAGCAGTGTGAACGGAGCCACTGTGTCATGATCTTGGCGCTGACGACTGGCTTGATTGTTCACTCCATTCACCTGTTTAGCTCCGCCCAGTTTCTCATCACCAGTCTCTAACCTGCTTGTTCCCAGTGCAAGATTATTTGATTCTTTAGTGAGAGTTCTCTAGCATAACTGGTTGTGGCCTGATCCTAAACCGTTGAACCTCTGAGCCTGCCTGTTCTTGTTCTGATCTGTTTGCCTGACCTGTCTTCAAACTCCTGCTGGATTCTGCTTATGGACTGAACCTGGATCTGCTTCCTGACTTCGACCTTCCCTTTGATACCTCTTGGGTTCTTTGCCAGAGAGGTTCCTGTCTTAGATGTCTTTGCAGTTACTGCAGATCCGCCATTTTTTTTAATAAACGCCTTTTTGAGTAATCTGTCTGTCTGCCTTAATTACCGGGTCCTCTAATCTGAGAATTGACAGTAAGAGAGCATCACAGAACGCAATCACAGAAACAGATGATTCAGGCTCATAAAATGTTTGTTTATACTATAAAACATAATATGCAGAAAGCTGTATTTGTTATATGTTTAGTCGGATAAGAGCCAATGTTTATTGCCATGCTAGAAATGTATAGTGAAGCAGTGTAAGCAAGCAGAGCTTTAAATTAGTAAGGCTTTAACACTGTAGCGATTAGGCCTAAAAAAAACGTCATAAGATCATCAGATCCTCGTTTGCAAGCTAATATCTGTGCATCGCAGTGAATCCTGGACAATATTCGGTCTGTTCTAAAACATCCAACAAGCTGCAGACGGACGCAGCACTGATAATATCCAGAATGACGTTATTCTGTGAGGCTATTAGTCACTGTAAGTCTGTAAGTGCTAAGATTCACACCTCAGTTTATAGGTTGCTCTATGTTAGGTGCTCAGGCTGTGAATGTTTTTTTTTGTTGTTTTTTTTAGAAAGGATGATGAAAAGTGAAAGTAAAGTGAAATTTTTATGAAAATTTAAAGTAGCTGTAAAGTCCCACTCAAAGACAGAGTTAAAACAGGGATGGGGAGACCTTTGAATACCAGTTGCAGAATACTAGATCTAATCTGTTTTTAATCTCTATTAGACGGCGTTTAGAATTATTCCAGCAGACGGAGAGGACGCCGTCCACGGACAAGTACAGAGAA